AACTCAAAATCACTATCTGTGGACTAAGTCACTTTCTCTTGTATACCGACGATATGTGTGATATAATCTATAATGTAAGGACAACAAAGTTTAATTAGGTTTATATTCAATGTATCTATTCCTGCTGCACTTGTTTATATGTCAAAGTTACTTATCCTTTGAAATGTAAAAGTGTTACTATTAATTCGATTACTACTATAATATCTGTACAAATCATCATCGAAAGGTAATAAAGATGAAACAGAATTGACATAATAAAAATTTAAATCATCAGGTCGTTGAAGATGCCCTGGTATTGAATTGCCCGCAATACCGCCCATGCCTACCGATCTCAACGCCCTCCAAGGATTACCTTTTTCACACCGAACCCGATACTCCAAAAATGCCTTACGTTCACTATCAATGGCTACATTAACCGTATTTCTACATGATTTATAATACACCCACGCATGCACTGTTCTTTTTAATTTAAACTTTTTATATGCATCATCACGGAAGCGCTGCATTAATCTAATAGTGTCCGTTAACCAAGGAACGGGTGGTTTTATAAACCTGTAACGTTTTGAAGGAAGATGGAAATCTATTACATATACTAAACTATTAGTGAGGTAGTTAATCTTATCATCTACGCTTACCATATCAAATATAGAGTAAAGGGGGAGCCTATACAAATCATTCAAAAACTCTTCGCGATCAAAATGTTTAAACGACCTCAATGTTCTATACTGAGGATAACGTGATGGCAAAACAGGCGCAATCTCACAAAACACCACTCATGATCTGATATACCACGTGCAACACCCTTTGCCCTTATCATCCCTAAATCAGATGTGCAGATCACATCTAATAATTTTTCAGTGGTATTTGTAATTCTTGTTGGCGAATCAATTATTTGAATTAAGCCCACTTTGCCACCATGAAGTACAATATTGACATCACCCACCAAAATAAACGTATCGTGTGTAGCAGCTACAACATTTTCAAGTTCTGTAATAAAAGCTGAAAAATTAAAATCCGGCGGTTTATAGACAACGCCCAAGGCAATACGCAATTTATCAACAAGAAAAGAAATCCATAGCTGTTCAATAGTATTCGAAATAGTAATTATTTTATACCTTACTTTGTTGTTTATATAAAAAGCACAAGCTCCTCCCCTACCATCTCGATCCGCGCGCTCCAACGAAAAACCAGGAACAGCAACCGTCGCCGAGTCAACATCAGTTGTAAGCCAAGTTTCAGATAAACCGATAATATTGAACTTTGCTTTCAGTGACTGAGCATTCAAGTGGGCAATTTTCATACTCTACAAATGGAAATACGAGAAAAAAAATATATATATATATATACAGTGTGGCTCCTTAGGGGAGCCGAAGTCGCCCATGGTTCATATATAAAAGTACCCTTCAAATTCACTAAAGAATCACCCTTGAAGTTTGTTGCAGTCATTCAGGTACACCCTGTATATACAGTGTGTCCCCGGATTGTGTCCCCGTAAGGTATAATTGACGATAAATTTTTGAATTCAAACTCCATCTTTTGCAATTAAAGTCTGGATGTCATAAAACGAAATATAACCAAGTTTTACGTCAAATGTCCTCAAAGTACCAAAAATAACGCAAGAAGTTTGTTAACCGTTGAAGGTAAAGTGGTCTTTCTGAGCAATGTACAACAAAAGTTGATTAAGATAAAATGTTTGTTATGTTAAATTATAGGGATATTTCGAATTTTATTAATTTAGGATATAAAAGCAAAATGCAGATTTTCAAATCATAAGATTAACAAAATATTTTCGATCTAAACTAAATTAACATAAAAGCTTATTCAATGATACCACAACCAACACTGACACATAATTCAGCCCTTTTCCGACATTGTTTGTAACTTTTTCTAATATAGTCCAACGGAATTTCTCTAATAACAGTTTCAATTTTTTGTTAAACTTTTTATTTTACATAACCCCAAAAATAAAAATCCATAATAGATTGTTACGTTTTTTTTTCTTTCTTTTTCTCTTTTATGTTTTCTTGATTTTTGTGTGTGTATCAGAATCATAAAACAACATCGACGGTATTTTATTTTTTTTTAATTCGATTTTATTGTTTAATATTTTTGTTTTGTTTGTTTGTTACAGCAACAGAATTTGGTACAGTTTTCCCGGGTTCCATCGTGTGGATTCCTTCGCTTTCTTTCCTTATCCAACTTCCTTAATTTAACGATCATCTATCTTTGTTCTCAGGTCTTCTGTTATTCGTTCATCTCCTATTCAATAGATATCTCTGTTGTCTCTTCTTTTAATTTGTTTATAATATTATTTTTGGAGTTTATTGAAAGTTACGGATTTTATTTTTGGGTCGGTATTAGTAATTGATAAATTTTAAAATAATGTTTCTTTACTGAAATCTTTTGATTACATTTTTAATAGTGGAACTATTCAAGTTCGGGGTTGGGGAAGTTTCAATTTTTACGATTGACGTTATTGCGAATAACCAGTTTTTTGTATTAGATCTGGAAATTTATGTGGCCTTAGAGTTGATTCTTTCTCTTTTACGTATCAGATCTTGAGGGGTTCAGACGCTTTGTAAATTTTAGTTTGGGGACGACATTTTGGAATTTAAGTGTTGGGGTCGTACCAAATTATTTTTCCTGATTTTGGGGATTAATCATAGCGTGCTGTAGTTACTGGTATTAGAATTTTTAATGCCTGTTTGGCGGACTTTCCGGATTTGCTAATATTTCTCAAGAAATTCAACATTTTTGTCTGATACTAAGGCCTCGACGATCTGAGGCCTGTTATTTTGAGCATTTACTTTTGCTTTGGATCATTTAATTCTTGATTTGGAGCCGTTTCGATTTGGAGCATTCTTTTTATTTCTTAAAAGAAGCTCTTTTCCCCTTTTGGAAGCCTTGATATTGGTGCCTTGTTGACTTTGGAACCTAGTTGTTTATTGTTCCTGAAATCTGGAAGAGTTGGAAAACTGTATCAAAGGACGTTGCTGGAAACATTATCATCTTTGAAGTCATCGGTCAACTTAGCGATTCTAAGGTCAGAGATTTAGTATATAAGATTGTAAACTTTCTGAGAAGCCATCAGCTAAAAGAAAAGATTAGGGAAGTAAATTTTGTTTATTAATTATTAATTTGATTAATATCACTTACCTGACGAAAGTCTATTTCATTTTGTTTATAAATTTTCTTTCACCGTTAACTCAGTTTATGAAAGAGTTCTTTTCATTGAGTTATTATTATTTTTTTTTATTATTTCTTCTACGCGAAAATATAAATGGTTCTAGGGCAAGCTTGTTCGTACGGAAGCGTAACGAATTGAAGTTCAGATTAATAATTTTTTTTATTCTATTCAAAATCTTTGCCCATAAGAAAGATATCTATTTTTTTATATATATTGTCAGTATTATTATTATTTCTTTTTTTGAATTTATTATTACAAATTTATTATTATTACTATATTTTTTTTTTAATAAAGAATTTTGTTATACGTTAATTCAGGTTGTTTTATGATTCTGATTATTCTGATTATTCTGATTCTATGTATTTCTGTTGTATTGTGTTTATTTCTTCTTACCAATTCTTTAATTTTTTTTTACCGTCACTTCGTAATTAGTGTGTGTCGCGGGTTGAATTACGTGGCGCCATATAAATCGAACCTCCCATTCTTCACTGGGATAGCCGAGGTTTCGCAACAACATCGTAAAACGAGAATTGGTTAACTTTTACGTAATTTTGTTGATGTTTAATTGGGTTTTAACTTTGAAAATTTTTGGCGTTACAATATAAATTCGGTCTTCTTGGCGGCCATGGTTGCGGACCATATCTACCAATAAATTTTTTTCCAAATAAGGTATTTAAATAATTTCTAATTAAAATGGTGGAATGTGGGCCGTTACTATCTTGCTGAAAATATAATTTATTGCGTTTTTCTAAAACCACGCCGTGAAGATTATTAAATAAAGAATTTTATAGTATTTCCATATATCGGTGTTGATTCAAATTGCCGTTTATGAAGTCAGGTCCAATAACACCGTCCCACGAAACAGCACACCACACATTCATTTTCTGATAATACTGACGTTTACAAGCTATGCGATAATGTGGATTAGTCTTTGACCAGTGGTGAACGATGCTTCGTCCGAAAATATTATGTTTTTTAAAAAAGTTCTATCTTTCAAAATTATGTACCCAAGCCACAAACAATAATCTAAACGTTTTGCTTCATCACCTAATTCGATAGTGTGGTTAAATTTTGGTTTATACAGCAATATTTTATTTTCTCGATAAATTCCTTGTAAATGGGATTTACTTATACCGACTTGAACTGCCCTTTCTCTTAACGACACCTTACCGTAATCCATTGCGTTCGTTACTGCAACAATCGACCCGAATCATGTTCATCTAAAAGCTTGTTTTCCTTCCTTTTATTTTCCATATTGCCCGTTTCCGAAAATTTTTAACAACTCTCTTAATTGTTTTTTATCTACTAAAAATCCAAATTTTTCCTCAAATTGGCTTAAAACTGCATTGTAAGTAATGTTCCCCAATCCATAGCACTGCATTATAAATATTTTATGTTGTAATGTAAACATGATCAATTAATATTTGACAATAGGCTAAAGCTAATCTATCAAATGATAATTGTTAGTTCACTCAGATCAATTGTTTTTATTGTAAAAAGGAATATTAGAAAAAAAATTTCAAGAAAAAACTCATTTTTTCTTTTATATGCTAAATTAATAAAATTCGGTATATCGCTATAATTTAACATAACAAACATTTTATCTTAATCAACTTTTGTTGTACATTGCTCAGAAAGACCACTTTACCTGCAACGGTTAACAAATTTCTTGCGTAAACTTTGGTACTTTGAGGACATTTGACGTAAAACTTGGTTATATTTCGTTTTTTGACATCCAGACTTTAATTACAAATTTTCAATTGTAGCCTCCAGGTTCATTATGGTGAGTATTAATAGGATAAAAAAGAATAAGTCCACGATGATTATTTATTATTTTTTTCTAATTTCGGTACAACAATGTTTCGCTTTTTCTAAAAGCGTCTTCAGGTACGACTAGAATAATGGAAGATAATTATTACTAGTTGACGGGTTTTTTGTTGGTGATATAAAATTAAAATTATAAAAAGTTCTTACCGTCAAAAACTAAGAATGATGAACACGTGAAAAAATGATCATGTGGAAAAATTTCTCTTACAAAAAACTACGACGGACCGATGATTAAAAATATAATTTTGGATTAAATAAAAAGTGAAATTTTTGAAAACGGCGTGGGTTTACCATGTCAGGTTAAAAACTCCAACGTCGGGTGATAGGTTAATAAAGTTTTGAAATGCTGAAGGCAGGTGTAAAAGAGACTGTAAAAGCTGAAGGCGTGTTATAAAACACCAATGGACCGAAGAACCTCTAATTATAATAATATCAATAATGTAAGTGATAAGCCAAATGCAAATGCTAATAACTTTAACCACCATAACAATTCATTTTTTCATATCAAAAAAATAGATGTAGAATGCTCCTCTTTTAAGGTACCATTAAATAACTTCAATAACATCTCCTTTGCACCTAGGGCGACCAATCTTTCAGACTCAATTTTTTCTAAAACCGAATATAAAATCTTTAATTATGGCCACAAATTTTCCTTCCCACAAAAACTTAATAAAATTGAACTCGCGATCTCCCTGGAGTCACAGCTCCAATTCAAACCTGAAATTCACAAATTTATGCTTAACAATATTAAAAACATCATTAAAGACAACAACACTCACACGGGCTGTGACCGCAGGGAGATCGCTAACATAAAACAGAAGATCATTGATAATGATCTTGTGGTGACACTTGGAGACAAAAACGCCGGTCTAGTTATCCTTAATAAAAATTCTTATCTTCAAAAAACATTCTCTTTCTTTCAACAAAATAATATTACATTAATTAACAAAAACCCAACTCAATCTTACAATAACCTTCTCAAAAAACTTATTAATTCTAGCAAAGATACTCTTGTTAAATTTAACTTTAATACTTACTCACTCATTCAAATGAATCCCCTCCCACCTGTTCTCAAATGTTTAATTAAACTTCACAAAGAAGACCATAGCATTCGACCTATTATTAGTAATGTTAATACTCCTTCAGAGAAGATTGCCAAACAGTTTCAAAAATTCCTATACAACAATTTTAATAGTGATATAAAATATAGTGTTAAAAACTCAAAACAATTAATTGATTCTCTTCAAGATATCCAAATCAATAATAACTCCATCCTCATCTCTTTCGATATTAAAAACTTATATTCTAATATTCCTATAAAAGATTCATTAAAAATAATCGAAGCCCACCTTTGTAATAACATATGCAAATATGACAGTGTTCAATACCAAGACATATATAACTTCATTTCCTTGTTGGAATTGGTATGCAATCAGAATTTTTTCATTTTTGACAACAAATTTTACCAGATGAAGGATGGCCTCCCCATGGGTTCACCCATTTCAGGGATAATTGCTGATATTTTTGTTAACCACTTCGAAGGGATTCTGTTCTCGGAGAAATATGAATTTTTTACTAAAAATATTATCTTTTATAAAAGATACGTTGATGATATCCTTCTGATATACAACGGTAAAAGATCCCACATTATAGCTCTTAATAACATTTTTAACAATATTAATAATCTTCAATTTACTTACGAAGTAGAAAAATGTTCATCTATTTGCTTCCTTGATCTTACTATAACAAAGTGCACCTCCGAGAACAGAATCCTATTCGACATATATAGAAAACCTACTACTACCAATACCTTAATCCCAAAAAATTCATTTACATCATTTCAACATAAATACGCATCTTTTCGTTTCTTTTTTGATAGAATTTTAAATTACCCACTTTCACGTGCTAGTTTTAACAAGGAAATTAATACTATCATCAAGCTGGGCTTCGATAATGGTTACTCCCTTCAGGAGCTTCAAAATTTATTTTTCCGCATTCATCAAGCTAGAATTAATAATCTCATATATCCCCACTTTTCCAACCCCGGCGTTTTTGTCTCTATACCTTTCCACCCTTTAATCCAAAAACAATTTTCCGATATTTTCAATAAGTTTAATGTCACACCGGTATACCGTGCTAATGCTAAATTGGGCCAATTATTAACTAATAATAAACACATATTCGATGATAAACTTAAAAGTGGGATTTACAAACTTAATTGTAACGATTGCGATTCCTTTTATATAGGACAAACTGGAAGGAATATCAGTACTAGATTCAAGGAACACTTAAATAAAGAAAATTCTACTTTTTATAAACATTTAAAAGAACATAAACATAAAACTGATATATCCAAAATTAAACTTCTAAAACATCTTAATAAATCCAGAAAAATGGACCTATTTGAGGAATACTATATAAAATCATACCACATTAAAAACCCTGAACATATTTTGAATGAAATTACTGATTTTAACAATTATAATAGATATTTTACACCTTTCATATAATTTCAAACTCACCGCTCTTGCATTTGGTTTGTCACATCCTGATACCAATTTTTCACTTTCTTAAGTTGTCATATCACTTACTTCCTCTTTTAACTGACCTCAGTCCGTTGTAACCAGTCGATATGTGCACACGACTCAAGTTTTTTGGTAACACTTAACGTTATAATACGCTTTCAATAATATTAATACCCTTTTCTTTTAGATTTTTAACGATAAATTCCCCTTTTTTATAACACGCCTTCAGCTTTTACAGTTTTTTACGCCTGCCTTCAAAAACTTTTTTAACCTATCACCCGACGTTGGAGTTTTTAACCTGACATGGTAAACCCACGCCGTTTTCAAAAATTTCACTTAAATCTTTAATCCAAAATTATATTTTTAATCATCGGTTCGTCTTAGTTTTTGTAAGAGAAATTTTTCCACATGATCATTTTTTCACGTGTTCATCATTCTTAGTTTTTGACGGTAAGAACTTTTTATAATTTTAATTTTATATCACCAACAAAAAACCCGTCAACTAGTAATAATTATCTTCCATTATTCTAGTCGTACCTGAAGACGCTTTTAGAAAAAGCGAAACATTCTTGTACCGAAATTAGAAAAAAATAATAAATAATCATCGTGGACTTATTCTTTTTTATCCTTTTAATTACAAAAGATGGAATTTGAATTCAAAAATTTATCGTCAATTATACCTTACGGGGACACAATCCGGGACACACTGTATATACTGGGTGTATCTGAATGACTGCAACAAACTTCAAGGGGTGATTCTTTAGTGAATTTTAAGGGTACTTTGATATATGAACCATGGGCTTCTAAACGTAACCATCCCCGTTCAATTTATGCCTAGATTTTTTTTATGAAGATGATAAATACATTGGAAAAGTTTCAGTTAGATAGATAAAACTATTCTAAAACTTTTTTGTCTCTCTGATGTTCTTCTAAAAATAATAATTTCTGAGAAAAAAATAATTAAGCAAACACTAACTGTTAAGCTGTAGGGTTGTTAATCGAAAGTTGGAATGAATTTTTAATGAAAAAATCTTCGTAGGCTTTGCAGTCTTTGCCAGAAATATGTTTGATGTTTAAATATCAGTGGTTTTCTAACTTTATTATTGTTTTATTTAAAATTTTGAAACGTCGAGTGAACGAGCGTAAATGCGATAGAACTTTATTCAAAAATTAATTTGAAAAACAATAATAATAGCAAGAAAAAAGAATATCAATTGTTTTTAGAGATAGAAGAACATCAGAGAGACAAAAAAGTTTTAGAATAGTTTTCTCTATCTAACTGAAACTTTTCCAATGTATTTATCATCTGCATAAAAAAAATGTTAGCAAAAATGCAAAGGGGGTGGTTACGTTTAGTAGTTTAGAAGGGTAGGTTGACAGTACAAATAGGGTCAACATGCACTATTATGAGTTAAACATATTCCCCAAATTTCATTTTCTTAGCGTTTATGGTTTTTGAGAAAAAAAAATTAAACCAAAATTTTCCGCCATTTTTGAAGGGCTGTAGGGGAGCCGAAGTCGCCCATGGTTCATATATCAAAGTACCCTTAAAATTCACTAAAGAATCACCCCTTGAAGTTTGTTGCAGTCATTCAGATACACCCTGTATATTAATAATAGCAAAAATAATAAGAACGTATTATACCCACTATAACTTTTTAAAATAGTAGAATAAACATCAACTATTTAAAAAAAAAATATTACTACTACAAAAAAAAAAAAGATTTACTAATTTATAAATTATAAGAATCGAATTTAAAAAAAAAGAGAGAAAAAAAACCAGTAAACAAAATAAAAGAAAAGTATAATGCAAAGTATACAACTTTGATCCACTATAATTGGTATATCTACCAGATCTTGGTCAAGCTACCATTTATACCACTTGTACCATTTATTTTATTCAATGTCTTCGTCGTCTTTGACTTCTACTGATACCGGTTTTCTCTTGCGGTGTCGATTTCTGTTCTTTGATCAAATCGATTTGATCAAATGCCGATCTTAATAAGGTTGAAGTAAATGATATGTCTGTAAGTATAGGTATACGAATGTGCAACATGGCATTAACAACACAATACAATATCACATTTATTAAAAAACAGTAAACCAAACTTTTCAAAAAATACAACCCATTTTTACAACGAAAAATATCTTAATTATTAAAATAAATATTGACCTTATTTATTGCAGCATGATAAAAACTGATGACATTTACTGTTACACTTAACTTGTCTTAAAAGACACAATGCATTTTTTATTTTTGCAACTCCACAAAGCACAAACCGTCTGACCATTTATTGGTTTTATTGTTTTTCATCCAAGAAACAAGAATGTCCCGTACGTCTTGGTTTGCCCTTTCCACAGAGCCTTGACTCTGTGAATGACGAGGTTTTCGATATACAATTTTAGCGTCGAACACATTTGTTAAATTGGTAATTACAGCATTTGCAAATTCAGGCCGCTATGAATTCATTATCGCTATGGAGAATGCAGGGAGCGCCAATAACACAAAAAATTTCCATCAAATTCTAAGCGACATCCTCTGCTCTCTTAGATTTCAGCGGCAAAAGGATTTTTTCAGGTGATCCTGATAATTTATATCGTTATCGGGCTTGGTCTGCATGTCAATTAAATCGACTTGCCCTCTTTGTTAAAGTTCTTCGTTAATATCGGCTTCGTAACTAAATCTTTCTTTTTCTCTTTTTTCTTTAACTGGCAAGATAAACAAAGTTTTAAATATTCTTCAATATTTTTTCTTTACTTTCTTTTCCATAGCAAGTGTTCGTTTATGTCCTATCTCCTTGTGTGCTTTTTCTAATACGTCATACACTTCATGCATTTGACAATGTTTTTGAATTAAATTATCAATCCCTCTTATTGTTAAAACCTCAAATTTATGAAGACGTCGGTATTCTAGCGGGGTAAGTGGTTAACCAGCCTATTTTTTGTCATTGCACGCCTTCACTTCTTGTATAATTTCATTGAATTTCTCCGATTAAAGAGGGCACGTAAAGTTTTTATTATTAACAGTAAGACACATTTTCAGGTTATCATTAAACGCTTCAGCATTAACACAAGGAGCCATAATCTTGTACTTATATTTACTGAATAAAATAAACACGTCTGTCTTTTTTGTTTACGATATGTGTGATATGGTGCGGAATATCGGTTGTCGCTTGATCAGTTTGTAGACGGCTGCGCAAAATTTAGTCAATTTAGACCAGTGTTGTTAAATACCCGGGTATTTATTTTCAAGGGAAAATAAATACCAAGTTGGGTATTTAGAGGTATTTATAAAATTTAAAAACAATACAAAGATCATTAAAAAAATAAACAAGTTTAATTCAAAAATAAAAGTTCTTTTTTAATAAAAATCATTAACACTGGTTATTTACACAAAAACCCATAAAAATAAAACAAGAAACTCTAAATAATATATTCATTTTTAATCATAATAAATTGATATAATCTAAATTAAGTCAGATTCGTCTGATGATAATATGTCTTCAATCGTTGACAACTGCTCGTCTTCGTCCATTTCATCGTCGCTTTCTTCATTTTTGTCGGTATCTGTTATATTTTGGTTTGTGTTAGTTTTATATGTATTTAATAGCTTATCATTGTAAGTTAAATATGTTAATTTGGCGGCATTTGTCGTAGTCAGCCGATTTCTTTTTTTGCAGTGCAGCCAACTAAACGCGCTAAAGGTTCTTTCTGTTGCCGCTGATGTTATGGGTGCACTTAATATCCGAATGGCGATATCTGCCAATAAAGGCAGATATCGCCATATCTATATATATAAAAGTGGTGGCATAGAATCATGTCAGTCCCATAAAATGGTTTTTGTCCATATATCTTCTTTATCACGAAAATTTACTAACTCGGATCTTAACTTTATTTCATTTATATGAGAATGCTTTCCCATATTATATATAAATGTTATTGCGTCCAACAACTGAGTGGGATTTAAATCGCACCCCTGAGTTGATGGATTTAACAAATCTGCGGCAAAATGTATGTCGCCTAGTGCAAACTTCTTTCTGTCGACCAATTTTTTAATAATATTATCCTTTTCGAATTCTTCGAAATTGATGACATTAATGATGTCCATTAAAGTCGACTCCAGTTTTGTTAATTCTCTATAGACAATATGTATTTGTGGTTCATTAGATTGCACTTTTATTAATAAGTTTATTATAGGTTCTAACAGCGACATAATATTTTGAATATGATTCCAAAAGTTATCATCAAGAATTTTTTTCTTTATTTCTGATGTGATTATTACTCCTTCGGTTACCGCTAAGGTTTGGATAACACTTTTATTATCATCGCGTTAGTGCTGGTAATTTAAGAGCGACTGTAACACCTTTTTCTCTTCCTATTTGATCAAAAGTAGCTTTAAGCACATGACTATTTTTAATAGTTTTTGTGACTTGAATCACATCTGCTATTTTTGTTTTAATTGATGAACTGTTAACAATATCACCACATAATAAATGTAACAAATGTGCCAAACATCCTAGCGGTACAATACCGCTAGGATGTATGAGGATACTTTTCTTGCAGTAGTTTGAAACTTGCTCTCATATTCGCCGCGTTATCACCAATGACTACCAGAAATTTTTCGGTATCATACTTTTTCATTACTATTTCTATTTGTTTGTACAAATATGTTGCTGTATGTCGCTTTTCCCCCGAAAAAACAAAATCAACAAAAAGTGGAGCGGGGGTAGATATTAAAAAATTTATAATGGATTCGTTGCGCAGATTAGACCAACCATCACATTGTAAATGTAGGTGCTTACAATTATTAACTGTAGAATTAACATTATTTTTCATTTCGACATATTGTGATTCTAAATATGTTCTTGCTAAACGATTTCGGGAAGGAGGCACGAATGCGGGGCGAATAGCTTCAAAAAACTCGATCCATAATGGATGTTCTACTAACGAGAATGGCGGGCCGCTGATGAAAACAGCTTTTGCCAGACGTTGATTGAGCATTTCCTACATCAAAAGAAAATCATCATTGTAAGTTTTGACTGATAGCAATTTTATAGTAAAACATACATTTGTCGCAGGATCCATAGTATCGAAAAACGGTGTAATTGCTGATGATGAAGATAATGTTGACATAGAACTTTCAGGTCTTTCAAAAGAACTAGATCCAGGAACAACACTCACTGGATTATTTTCTTGCCAAGTTACTACCGATTGATCTATATTTTTCACCAAACTAGGGTTTTTTAAAATATTTTTTACATGCTGTGGGCATTTAAAACATGCTACGTCTTTACTCAAATAAAAGTACGAAGATGTGTTCAACTAAAAATTTATTTGGAACTGAAACTGGTTTCCCAAATTTACATCTTTTATATAAACAGTATACACAACACGCAAACTCAGAACGCTAAGATGCAAAACAAGTCAAATTAAATTCTATAAATCTATAACACCTCTATCCTTATTCCTTTTTTATTTATTTATTTATTTTTTTTTACAAAAACAAATAAAACTAAATAATACTCTAATTACATTCATAATTTGTGAACTTAATCATTTAAAGAAAACTAACTACTAACTCTAATTTCTCGGT